AAAAAAAAAAAAAATTAAAATTAAAAATTAAATAAAGGGCTAAATATGATAAAAGGAGGCTGTTAGAGTGGGCCCTAATCCAATATAACTGATGTACTTATAAGAAGTGGAGACTAGCATGCACGGAGAGACACCAGCGGTGCACATTTGCACAGAGAAAAGGCCATGGAAGGACACATTGAGAAAGCAGCCATCTGCAACCCAAGGAGGGAGACCACAGGAGAAATCAAAATTGCCAGCACCTTGACCTTGCGATCCTGGCCTTTAGAACTGTGAGAAAATAAAATCTCTGTTGTTTAAGCAACATGGCTGTGGTATTTCTAATAAACTAACACATATGGTATGTCTATTTCCAGAGGAGCGCCCACGCCGGAGGCTGTGTCTCCCTTTTCTTTGTTCTGCCCTTCCCTACCCCATGGGGGCCTAGAGCCTAGTGGGCCAGCTTAGGCAGTCATCTCCCCACTCCATGAGACTCTCCTGCAGGGCCCAGTGGCCCTGTCACCACATGATATCCCCTTGGGTCCTAGTGTGGCAGGCCAGGTTTCCATTAGTGGCCAGAGCAGCTAAGTTTCCACTAACTCTTTACTGTAATTTTGATGAAGGCATACATTAGGCATTAAAGAACTGAAGAAACTGGTACCTGAGTATGAGGGCTGTGTCAAAACACATGCTCTGAATGAAGAGACCCCCAAAGAGGCTTTGGGTGAGTAACATGGCTGTTTATTCACCTGGGTACAGGAAGGCTGAGGCCTAAAAGGATGGCAGCGAAGCATGGTGGGATAGGAGTTGATTTTATAGGTTTGGGATGGGCAGTGGAAAGTTACAGAAGTCTTTACAGTTGGTGGTTTTTTGCAAGCTGGGAGGGGGTCCTTGGGTGTAGAGTCACCAGGTTGGCCAAGGTCTGTTAAAGCCCAATTGCCTTGTCAATTGTGGCCGGAATAAGAAACAATAGAAGAATGTGTCAGGTTAGTTAGGTGGTGCATGGGTTGATCATTTCTTCCAGGAACTCATCTGGGGTGTACCTGCAGGTCACAGAGATTACCATGCTGTTCATGGCGTGGGCAGACCTTACAGTCTAGAATGAGAGAACAAACCCATTAAGACCCCGCCTGGGCTTTCTTAGTTAGTTACTAATGTCTGATAGAATAATAACGGGTTTTTGTTTGTTTGTTTGTTTGTTTGTTTGTTTTGAGACGGAGTTTCACTCATGTTACCCAGGCTGGAGTGCAATGGCGCGATCTCGGCTCACCGCAACCTC